ATTTTTTAGTTTGAGACAGGGTCTTGCTAAGTTGCTGAGGCTGGTCAAACTCACAGTCCTCCTGCCTTAGCCTCCTGCATTGCTGGGATTACAGGTATGTACCACAGCATTGGGCCTGGCCCTTTTAAAATTTTGAGACAGGGTCTCACTAAGTTGCTTAGGCTGGCCTCAAGCTTTTGATTCTCCTACCTCAGCCTCCCAACTCTCTAGGATTACTGGCTTGTACCACCATAGCCGGCAAACCGTAGAGTTTCAGATGCTCACCACAGTGACTAGGCAGTTGGAGGGTTCCAGTCCTCATGGAACAAAGGAGGCAGAACAGTCTGCAAGACTGGTTGCCCAGTTCTCTCCTCTGGGTCTGAGGAGTGATTGGAGTTAGCAGCTCCTCTCATGAGCTGCATTTTTCATCCCTAATTTAAATAGGCAGAGGTGACTGAAAATGTGCAAATGTTAAAATGTTATTTATTCACCAGCCTGTGTGATCTGCCTGGACCATCACAGTCATTAAAATGCAGCACAGAAGACCTCTTGCTTCAGCAGCTCTCAGGGTAAAAGGAAAGCCAGCACCAAGAATGGGTAAAGATGGGAAGTTGATGGGCTGGGAATTGGCTCCACTAGCGGCCTATTCAGGGAAGCCACTGGCCTTGGTGTCCAGGGAGAGTAAGGAGCAGCCCTCCCTCTGTGTGGGTTGCTTCCTTGTTTCTCTCTAGGAGGGCAGATGGGAGGAAGGCTGAGGGCAGGGGGAGCTGCTGGAAGCACCGTAGGTGGTCTGGAGGGCCTGGGTCTGCAGGCTCCTCCTGCACGCCACAGGGTCCCTGGACGAGGTGTGTGGCTCCACCTTTTCTGATGTGTGTCTGTTCCTCTTCACCTTGTTGCTCCCACTGTCCTATAAGTAGGACACTTATCAAAACCTATGAAGGTTGTAGGACACCTATAAAGTTGCTCCATTTAAGTTTGTGCAAGTGTCCTGCACATAAGATGATGGGGCATAACTGGCAAGGGTCACTTCTTCAATGTCCAGCACAGAAGCCACAGGCGGGGAAGCCGCCTGGCCTACAGTAATGCCACTTTCCTTCCAGTCTCCTTCCTTCCTCCTTCTTCCTTTCACCCAGGGCCTCTTACATTTTAATAAGTAAGTGCTCTACCATTGAGCTTCAGGGCCATTAGCACTTTCCTCTATTCACTGTGCATTTAGTCTTCACATTACTTAGAATATGTTAATTCCCCTTCTAATTGTTTCTGAATATGCCAGTTTCTTCCAGTTTTAGGAAGCCCACTGGGGCAGACATGGTGTCTTTATACCCCCTGGGTGTGCCCTAAGGTAATCAGAATGAATGGTCACCACACCAGTTCTGGGGCTTCAACCTTCTCTCCATCTTACCTTCTGTCCTTTCCTTCTGCTGTTGAGAGTTGCAGGGATGATGAGCCTAATGGATTCTCATAACGTGCTTTATCTCTTTCAAGTACTTTCATGTACCATGCCATTGAGGATCCCTGTGACACACCTGTGAGAAACAGAGAAGTATTTGGTCTCATCTATGAGCAGAGTGTGTTGTGCTGGATGCTGTATGGTGGGTAGTAACAACTGCCATCATCTGTTGAGGTCTTAGCGTGGACCAGGCATGGTTCTAAATGGTTTACACATGTAATTTAATTTTCGCACCAGTTCTATGAAGTATTATTATGATCTCAAAATGACAAGTGATGATATTAGGGCACAAAGATGTCAAGTAATTTGCTTAAGACTGCTCACTTGTACTCATATTATTCATCCCTTGACCCTAAAGACCTATGTCATCCTGACTTTGGAGAAGAAAAAAAGCATTGAGCAGTTCTTTTCCCACCCATTGAATTGCCAGGAAACATATGCAGGTTTTTAGGGAAAGAGAATGCCAGCTTGTTAAAATCCTCAGGTTCTTAGATGCCCCTGTCCCCGCAGGAAGCTGAGAATCAGCCCAGGGCCTCATGCATGCTAAGCACACCCACAACCCCACCCCACCCCTTTTTTTTTTTGCAGTACTGTACTTGGGATTGAACCCAGGGCCTTGTGTATATTAGGCAAATGCTCTACCTCTGACCTACATCCTCAGTCCTGTTTTAAAATTTATTTTGAGGCAGGGTCTCACTAAATTGCCCAGGCTGGCCTTGAACTTGCAATCCTTCTGTCTTAGCTTCCTGAGTAGCTGGGATAGCAGGCCTAGGCATCTGTGCCCAACTCTAGGGTTCTTGGATCTTGACAGCTTTTCAGATACAAGGTATCCACCCTAGGGCATTGCCTGGGTAAGTCCGTGTGATTGTCAGAATCCTTTGATTTCTTACAATCCATGATGTATTGGATAGATTGTGTTTCTGTAATGGGGTTACAATCCTCAGAGATGCTTCTCCACATATTTCCTTCCTCCAGAAGTTTCCATTTCTTCTCTCTGCCCACTTTTTCCCCCTGGCATCCATCTGGTATTGAGTTCTTGGCATCTGCCTCCCTTTCTTCATTGATGGCTTGCATGAATGAGTGGTTGTTTGACAGGGCCTTCATTGTCAGCCCCCACAGCGGCACTCAGAACATTCTCTGGGGCCTGGGTTCCAAGGTCCACCCAAGCAGTGCAGCCAAGTAGACTCCCAGTCTGGGCTGTGGTGTTTCTCTTTCGTTGTTGGGGCCTTCCCCACCCCTAGATTGTTAAATGAGAACCTGGAAGCCAATGCAGTGGAGGGGCCTGTGTTCCTGTTACCACTGTCCTGTCTTGCGTTCACATGCAGAGGACATTTACCTCGGGCCATGATCTACACACAGTTGGTCATTAGACTGTGTGTCAGATTTTGTAGCCTGGTTGACTCCCCTGTCAGCCTTTTCGGGACTATTGACCTGAACCACCATGTGTGATCATGTGTCATTCTCTCTGTGGCCCCAGCAGGCACTACCACTGGGCAGCTTCATTCTGGTTGCCAGTTGTTATGCAGGATATTCGTAGCCATGAAGTCATAGCTTCCTGGGGCCCCAGTCAAGCCATAGGAATTCAGGTCTCAGCATTTCTTCTTCCCTAGAGAAGTGATGCAAGTAGGTCAGAATCTGTTCATTGCTCAGGACCTGACCCTTGTGTTGTAAGATGGGTGAGTTGGGGGGTGTGAAAGTTCTAACGTGGTCAAGTGCAGAGGAGGGAGACACTGAAGTTCATACAGCTGGGCTCCTGTAAATTAGTAATCAGGGCCATAAGTGCAGTTAATTGGCGGCCCCCTCTGCATATTTGCCAAAAGCTGATCTGACTGTGGGGACTGAGGGTGAGGTGAGTGGAACCATGTCCAATTCAGTCCTTGGGACAGTGGACTCCTTGAGAGTTCTGACTGTTTGGGTCTTAAGAACAGCATTGTAGGGCACTAGCAGCATGTACATTTTAGAATATCAGGTCTGTATCGTAGTGCTCACCTGACTTCTCTTTTCAGAAGGGGCCTTGAGCTACATGTGTCGGGGAGTGTGGGTGCTCCACAGACAGCAACAGGCGAATCCCCCAGCCAGAGCTCTGTAGCGCCCTAGGGGGAGAAGTTTGCCACATGGTAGACTGAGGTTCTCATTACTGTCAGAGCATTGAAAGGATTTTGAAGAACCTTGCAGTCCTACCTGCTCTTTTAGACATGGAAGCCCAGCAAGAAGTCACCAGTGCCAAGGCCACACAGCCAGAGAAAGCACAGCCAGGACCAGAGCCAGATCTTCCCACTCTTGCATCAGATTCTTTTTCCCACCACCTTGGACAAACCACTGCAGGCCTGTGGGCCTTAGATTCCTCATCTGTAAAAATACTCACACTGGACCCCTTTGGTTCTAATATTCTCTGATCTTATGAATAGTTCTTGGGAGCTTTGGGCAGACTAGGGAATTATTTGGTGCATCTGTAGATGCCACTCAGAGAAAATAAGCTTGAATATTAGCTCTGGATTGTGACCTAGTGCAGGAGACAGTGTTGTGTCCCCTGGCAATGTGATGGAAGTCTTCAATGGACTGAGTTCATGCAGGGAAAGCCCCTGGGTGTCCCAGGGTGATGCTGATATTAGACACTAATTTGGTCAATTATTTATGCTACTTCAGGACAGAAGTTTTTGAGCATACAGTAGAAGTTGGCCTTATGAGCTAGTAGTGTCAGGTTTCTGGGATGTTGGGGAGGTCTCCAGAGAACTACAAATGTCTCCTGGCATTGACGGATTAGACCATTTCGTTTTCAGAGGATCAACTAAGGTTAAACTTAAACAAATATGAGCAGCTGGGAGTCTTTGGCAGGAGTGAGATACGCATATTCTTTAAAAGAAGAAAAGTCTGTGTTCCCTGAGGAAGGAAGGACGAGGCGTGGAGCTCTGAATGGCCCCCTCTGAGGAAGGAAGCAGTTATTTCTCTGCTGTTTTGTTTTGCACTTTCAGTTAAGGAATTCCAGAAGTTGCAGGTTGTGGATCATGACCTCCATTTTTTTCCTGTGTTGCTGCTTGCCAGAGGAAGGGAGGGCGGGTGGCTGTAAATAACACTTTGGCCTTTATGGAAATGTATCAGATGTTCCAGGAGTGAGTCTCGCAGGCTCTTGCTGGCTGGCTGGCGCTGGCGCCCGCGCCCTGGCCGCACACTCCCTCTCCTTTCCCTCTTGCTCCTCGGTCACTTGCTCCGTCCTCACTTGTGTCCTTTCTGTAGGATATGGTTAACACTTCTCCTCGCCTTATATAGCAAGGTCTGGTCGTTAATGTTAACAGCACCCTAACAACAGGGAGGGCTGCCAGATAGCATTAATCAGGCCAGTGTTTGGAATTTCATAAATGCTCTGACTTTGGGTACAAATCGAACATGAAGAACAATATGAAACTGTTTTCTTCCTTCCCCTCTCCTCTTCTCTCCCTCTCGCCCCTCCCCACCCTCTCCAGCTTCTCTCTGTTCTCTGGTTTTGAATTCTGCTCTGCTGTACGCTTGCTGCATTGGAACTTTGTTGATTTTTGCCACGTTTAATTTTTTATTTCTCTCTGTCCACTTCAAGACCACAGGCGGAGCAGCAGCAGTCGGAGCCAGGACTCTGTAGAGGGGCAGGACGGGCAGGTCCCCGAGCAGTTCTCCGGTCTCCTCCACGGCTCCTCCCCGGTGTGTGAGGTGGGGCAGGACCCTTTCCAGCTGCTCTCCACCACAGGCCAGAGCCATCCAGACGGGTCCCCCCAGCAGGGCGCCTGCCACGAGGCCAGCATGCAGCTGGAGGAGCCGGGTATGCACACTCCAGAAGCCTCCCAGCCCTGTGGTCTGGACCAGAGCAAGAGAGCAGGCTACCCAGCGGGCCTGCCCCCCACCAGCAGCCTGTCACACCCCGAAACTTGGACTCGCACGGCATCCCCGCACCCTGGTGGTGCTGAGGAAGAAGGAGACCGGAGTGGGGCCAGAAGCCGAGCCCCTCCCACCAGCAAACCCAAAGCCGAGCTCAAACTCAGCCGCAGTTTGTCCAAGTCTGACTCTGATCTCCTGACCTGCTCACCCACCGAGGACGCGACGATGGGGAGCCGGAGTGAGTCTCTGTCCAACTGTAGCATTGGGAAGAAGAGGCTGGAGAAGTCGCCTTCCTTCGCCTCCGAGTGGGATGAGGTAAGACCAACGTGACGTCACAGAGAACTGGGTTGGCTGGGCTGGCCGCAGCCCACCTCAGCTCCCCCGTGTGCCAACCCCTGGGACCAGGACCTGGGCTCAGGTTGCCTTGGTTCCTTCACTGAGTGACCAGCATGTCCCTGACTGTGGTGGGAAGCAAGCCCTGTGTAACCTGGGTCACAGAGGACAGGTCCGTGAACGGTTAAATTTAAGGGTGGAGGCCCCAGCAGAGCGGGGCCCAGGGAGTGGTGAGTTCCTAGAAATGACACGCTGCTTGGAAAAATTTGGAGCCCCATTGAAAGAATTATGCTCACCCTGAAGAAGCTTAGGAAGAGCTGAAGTACTTCCTGTGAGCCCTTCAGGAGGATGAGGAAGGACCCAGGGTTAGCGAGGAGCTGGGGTAGGGACCAGGAGGGGAGCTTGGGTAGAAGCTACTGTGAGCGAGGATCTGAGGGGGCTTTTCCATCCTGGGCACCTCCATGATAATTCCCCAGAAGATCTAATGCCTCTCCCAGTAAAGTATCCTGCCTGACCCACATTCCCATATCGGTGAGGCGCAGAGGGCTTGGTGGTTCAGGAATCCCAGAAAGACAGTTGGGGAGAAAATCCATGCAGTGTGAGGCCTAGGTGCTTTTCATAACCATGTTACAGAATAGTTGGAAACATGTACCCAGATGTTTCTCAGTGACCTATGGCGTGTCTCACTGTGCAGAAGAATGTGTTTGTGAAAGACTGGTAAACAGCCAGGAATGTTAACGTGCTACCCTGGCAAGTTTTTTGCCTTTGAAGTGGACTCAGTCTATCTCCCAAGAACAATCTCAAGAGATGAATTTAGCCCTCCAAGAGGAGGGAGCCAGGCAGCTGACAGCCCCATCTGAACATTCTGTAGACTTGATGCCCTACCCAACTCTATTTGGGTTGCAGCTGCAAAGTTATGTAAACCAAAGCCAATCTCATTCCCAGTGTGGGAACAGGGTGGGGACAATTCCTCCAGGACTGTTATCTCCAGATAAGATGCAGTTTAGGACTCTGTTTAGTCAGAGACAGAGGAATCCTGTGCAAAAGATGGTTTTCGTTGCTTAGTAAACAAAGACTTGGTGAACCTATACCAGATGCCTGGTCACTAGTGGAAAAACACTGTGTGTGAGGTAATCCTGGGTGTCCCCTAGGACATTACACACAAGAATATTTGTATTTGTAGGAATATGTTTTTCAAAACAGTCTTACTACTTTCAGGGAGCCACAGAATAAGACAGCTGAAGGCAGGATGGGGACAGGCACAGTATGCTTTGAAATGAGGAGGGATGAAGAGAGAAGAAGGTGTGTGGTAGGGGACTCAGACGGGAGGCGGTGAGGGTGGGAAGGAGCCTCAGGAAAGACCACAGAGAAGGAGAATTTGATGTGGAATCAAAGAATTAATTCTTGTGGTTCAAACCGGAGTGAAGTCATGGGACGAGGCAAGAGCGTGGCAGGTGTCGAGGGAACACAGGCAGAGCACAGGGCTGGGAGATCTGAGGCCCTCTGGTTTCTGCAGTCTTGAGTGTTTATAGGGGAGAATAAGAAATACTGATAAAGAGTGAGATTCAGAGCTGACGTGAAAGGGCCTTGAACGTGAGGCCAAGAGATGAGCAGGTGATTTGCTCTCAGGGCTGCATCTCAGAGTCCTTCAGGTGCTGGAAGGCGGCTTTATCAGTCTAATGAATTACCTCTTTATGGCTCCGTCTCTGAGCACACCTTCACTCTGAGAGGCAGGAGTGCTGGGCAATTCTTTACAGCATGTTCAGGCCTGGTTAACCTACAGCATTGCCAGGCAGTCTAATGGGCCCCACCATTTCCTCCTTAAGAAGAAACAAAATCACGGAAGCCAAGCCCAGCCTAATTGAAGTCAGCTGTTTGGGCTCATGAACCAGTTTTCTTTGTGTTTCAATGTGAGGAAGTCCACGTACTGATGTTACCTTTTCAGGTAGAGGTTAGGGGTAGTACAGTGAACCAGGGACTGCTGGAGGTCTCAGTGGAATGGGCCAGTTCTACAGTCTGGCTAAAGCACCAGAAGCCTTGAAATACTTTAAATTTGAAAAAACTTAGAGGCATGTAGCTGGGTATGGTGGTGCACACTTGTAATCCCAGTGACTCAAGAGGCTGAGGCAGGAGGATCTCAAGTTCAAGGCCAGCCTCAGTAACTTTAACAAGGCCCTAAACAACTTAGCAAGACCCTGTCTCAAAAATAAAAAGTAAAAAGGGCTGGGGGTGTGGCTCAGTGGTTGAGTGCCCCCAAACTCAATCCCTAGTACCCTGTCACCACAAAAACAACAAACAAAAAACCAAAAAACCTTAAAGGCAGTTGAGATCTTTCTTATTTAGTTAGTTAGTTAGTTGTAGTTGGATGTAATCCCTTTATTTTATTTATTTATTTTATTATTTTTATGTGGTGCTGAGGATTGAACCTGGTGCCTCGCATGTGCTAAGCAAGCGCTGTACTGCTGAGCCACAACCTCAGCCCCCAGCAGTCGAGAAAAGAATTTAGAAGATTGAGCTTTGCCTGCATAATGAAAAGCAGCAAGGCCCGTGGTGCATAACCCTTCAATTTTGGGGGTGGGATGGGCTGGCAGTGCTGGGATGGAACCCAGGTCTTCACACATGCTGTGTAAGCACTCCACCACTGAGCTACATCCTCGGCCCTTTACATTGTCGTTGAGCTGTGTGATACTTGATTTTTGAGGCTCCATCTAAAATGAAGTCACTGGCCCTCAACTCAGAACTTTGGCAACCTTTCCTAGGATAGGACCTTGGTTAACGGTCATGCCCCACCCTAACCCTGACCAAGTACCCAAAGGCTGCTTTGCCATATCCTGTGCTTGCTGATTTCCTCTTTGTCGACCTTCAGTGTCCAATATATAGGGAAAGTTGCTCCGGAGGAGACTGGACCCGGCTCAGCTCCTCATTCCAAGGCCTGGGGAGGGAGAGCAAGGCCCAGGGGCCGGGCAGCTGTGATCTCAGCGTAGGTGGAGTTGCGGTGAGTCTGGCAGGTGGCTCCTCGAAGGCAAAGCAGGGTGAAGATGGGCTCAGAGCTCAGTAGACCTGGCTTTGAGCCCAGTGTCATCGTCTGCTCCCTTTGGTGCATGGATGGGCTCACAAACCTCAGTGCTGTCATCCTTGTTTGTGAAACAGAGGCAGTCAGATCTGTTTCAGAGCGTTTAACAATAAGAGATGTGTGTAAGTCCCTGGCATGCATAGGGGTTGGCTGGGTGGCAGGCATTAATATGATTATTGTGCCTAGAGCTATAGAGAATGGGAAGGGAAGCCTGAGTGGCCTCTGACCTGAGGAAAGGCAGAACTCTTTATGTATGGTCCTGAGGGAAGGGTGATCAGTGACTGGGAGGCAGGAGATGCAGTTCAAGCCCTTCAGCTGAGGGTCCTCGTGCAAGACTCTGCTCCACCCCAGAGATAGAGAGCCTACCCAGCCTGGGAAAGTCAGGTAGGCACCCCCTGTTGATTTTTGAGGAATTACTGAGCCTTTCTACCTAACTCTCTGAGAGGAGGAAAGATGTTAGAAATCCGCAGCTCTCTCTATTAATTTTTCAAATGTGTTCTTCTACATAATATTTGGCTGGCTGCTTGGGAGGATGTCCTCTTGTTGGACAATGTGCCTTGCTGGTAAGTTTGGGAGTCATGCTCCTTAGCGTTGGCAATGCTGCACTTGTCGAATTGCCCTAGACGAGGTGACTTCTGAGCGTTGGCCTGGTGAAGGTAAACCTCTGAAAGAATAGCCATCAGTGACACATTTCCTAATGTGTCACTTCTTATTTTCTCTTATAGTTTTGATAATGAAGCGTTAATAGAATTTGCCTTCAAAAGAGCTCAGCCTAACATGCTGTCTGCCTCCGAGTTCCAGTCAAGTGTCCACGGTCTCCACTCCAGTCAAAGCCCTCTGCATCGCCTTGATCCCTGAGGCACAGTGGACGTTAAACTGAGAAGCTGTTTATAAAGGAAGCTTTAAATATAGATAGAGTAGGGGAAATAACCCACACCCCTCTACTCATAGTTAACCTCTGTTGATATTTGATATACATCCAAATTGGAGGTCTTAATATATTTACTGGTTTATAATTTGCTTTTCTCCATATTGTGGATATCATTTTTTGTTTGTTTTTTCAGTACTGGGGGTTGAACCAAGGGGCATTTTACTACTGAACTATATCCCTAGTCCTTTTGTATTTTGAGACAGGATCTCACTAAGTTGCCCAGGCTGGCCTTGAAAACTTGTGAGCCTCCCGAGGACACTGAGATTTCAGGTGGGTGCCACCACACTCAACTGTAGATATATTACCATGACAGCCTCAGTAAGATCTGGATTCAGTTCTTCATTCTAAAAGGGTTAGTATTCTGTTATATGGCTCTATCATAAGGTTGGTTGGCTTGTTATTTAAGCTGTTCTCCCAATGACTCGGGAGGCTAAGACAGAAGGATCACAAGTTTGTGAAACATTAATGATTATAAAATCTGCTGGGTGTGGTGGCTCATGCTTATAATCCTAGCAATTTAGGAGGCTGAGGCAGGAAGATCACAAGTTCAAGGCCAGCCTCAGAGACTTAGGGAAGCCCTAAGCAATTAGCAAGACTCTTATCTCAAAATATAAAATAAAAGGGGCTGGGGATGTGGCTCAGTGGTGAAGTACCCCTGGGTTCAGTCCCTGATACCAAAAAAATAAACTGTTCTTTAACCATTTGATGCTGTGCCAGCCATTTTCCACCTGCCTTTTGGATCATTTCCTTGCCCTCTTTGCGTGCTTGTGTGCCCCTGCATTAACAGGCCAAGGGAATGTTGGAAGGGCTGTGTCCCTTAACGCACCAGTCTTAAGAGGGATCTTCTCCCAGCAGCTGTTCTATCTCGGTTTTACTGGAGGCCTTTTCTTCCCCCTCCTGGCCTGGGGCTCTTCACTGTGACCAGCTTCTGTCCCTGTGGCTCTCCCTGCGTGCTGCCCAGACCAGCCTAAATGAAGG